ACAGCTGATTGATAAACACAATGGAGGGAACTCTGCCTCCCATATCCCTTCTAGACTTAATCCTGTTGGTGCTCTCACCTCCAGTATTGCACCACACTTGCTGTAGCATAAGCCAGGGGAAGCAGAAAATCCCATTTAAGATCCAACTTAATTTCTGAAGATCAAACCCAACAGAACTCAGGAGCCTGCAGGCTTTTGAAAAGCCCAGCAGATAATGCCTTGGTCTTTTAGGAACCAAAACATCCTTAGAAATCCTGTGCTAAATGACTCTAGATTACACAGGCAATCTGGTCGGGCAGAGCACTGTTTTTGTGCAGAGGGTAACTTGCTGGTCACAGGGCCCTTGTTTCGCTCTGCAAAAGCCTTTGTGCCCTTATGCTTCCCCAAGGAAAGAAGCCGTAGTCAGTCCTGCAGCTCGGGCACGTGCCTGTCTTTTTATACTCTCACTAGCTTTTGTACTCACTGGCCAAGTTGAGTTACAGCTGTCGGGTATAGATGCCCCCAATATATATATTTGTGAGAGCGGGAGGTCAGGCAAGAGCAAACTCTTCTCGTGTCCCACCTGAGGGGTAAAACACTTTATTACACACAGAGAACCAGAACCAGAGAAGGTTTAAAAGCAGGCTTTAGTGACTCTGTTGATCATAGAACTTTATTTTGGTTGTTTACTTCTCTCCTTATTTCTGTCACGGAATTCTGTCACGGAAAAATAATCATATTGCTTTTCAAAGCACACGTGTCTTTGTCATATCCTAGTGTTTCAGTGGCCTTCTTTACAACACCAGACCAGGAAAGCAGAGATATTTCCTTTGCTGAATTCAAAGCCAATGGCAGTTTTGATTTTGCACTTAAAAAAAACAAGACGTAACTACTCTTATTTTGCAAATCCAGCTCTTACTTATGCTCTCAGAGTGCATGGACTACATTCAAACAAACAGAACTAAGACTTCCCTGATGCATTGCCATTAAAATGTCAGTGAATTAATTTGTGCAAACACTTTAAAACACGGGGTAGCTTGACAGTAAAATAAATGCATCATTTTATAAAGCATACTGCTGGATGCAACAAAGCTTTTAGTAAAACTGAGTGCTGTTTAAACATGCCAGACCTTATCCTTAACCACATTGAGATGTTTCATATCAGCCTGGCAGCATAAATATACCTTTCGAGAGTGTAAACTGAAAATCCATCAAGTTTAACATATCAAGATGGTGTGTAAAGGCAAAAGTTTAAATTAGAAACAATCTCATAATGATTCCAAATATCTACTTCTCCCATGATGTATGCTTTGTCATATGGGATGGGTACCCTCTGTCGTTCTTTGTGTACTTATGTACACAATTAGCAGATCAGATCAATGCTTGAAATTTGAAAGTTTCATTAATAAACATTTCCCTGGGCTTTTCCCAAGTAATGCAGCCCAAGATTGCCATGTAGCGGGTATGCATGAGCACCAGTTGTCCAGATAACAGGATTAGGTCTATCTTGTTAGCTGTGGTGCCTGAACTAATTCAGTGAACACTATTCCATCTTCCCTACATGTTTTCCATCTTTCATGTGGAAGTTACTAGAAAAGAATTAGCTCAGCTTGGCTCTTCCAGCCAGACTTCCGTTTTCTTTCTGTTGACTGGTACGGGCAATCAAAATATTGCACATGTTTGAACATTTTATTCAGGATATTTGTTGCAGAAAAAGGCAAAACAATTTGAAAACACAAAGATTCTCTCTTGTTATTGCAAAAGCAGAGCAGGAGGTCAGAGAGGGGAGCTGGTTAGCTGTAAGTAGACATGATCAACCACTGAAATTTTAATGTTAAGCTCAAAGGTAGGGTGCAAATGAAGCAAATTGACGGGGCGTGTTGCTTTTCATTGAGCATTCCACTAAGGAAAGTACTATCTCTGCAGTTAAATGTGTTTTAATGGGGTCTGTGCTACTGCTGGTATATTGTAAAGGGTTCAGAAATGGATAGAGTTGAAAACCACCAGCTCAGAAAATGGATAATGAAGCAGAAAGGCTTTCACATCTAAACCATCACCTCTAATTTAGCCTGTTTCATTAAGGGTGCACAAAGCTCTTCAGCCTCCTGGCTAATTGCAACTTCTGAAACTGTGAAAACATGCTGCACCCACCAAGTAGAGCAGATGCAAGGCAGGAGGGGCATTCAAGTCCCAAGACAAGAACAGCAATGCTAGGGTGCTTATTTATTTATTCTGTGGAAAAGGAGATAAGACTTGAGATGTTTCACTGAAAAAGAGACTCGTGGCTTGTCTCAGACAGGCCTACATGAAATGAAAAAGGGGCCCTGAGTCTGCCTCTTGGGCTGGGAACCACCAGGTCTGTCCTGGTCCATGAAGCTACCACCACGGTCTACATTTATAAGTGTTTATCGGTGAGTTTGTACAGAGGTCAAGAACTTGTGGTCATGGAGTAGAACTTCTCTGAAAAGCTCTGTGTGTTTGCTTTCCTGAGGCATCACAGAGGGGAAAACATCTGAATCAGAAACTTAGGCTGAAAGATTGGCTTTTAGTCTCAAGAGAGTAATTCTGAGATGCACAGAGAATTGGAGAAAATAAAAAACACTTTCAGGAACTCAGAAATGTGTATGAGAATCTGGGTGAAGTTCAAAGACTGCTAAAGACAGTACATTTTAATGTGTTTTGGTAAGGACATTGTATCTTAGCGTGAAGAAAAGACTAGCGCATTCAGCCAGAGCTGCCCTGCCCCAGGCAGCAGAGTCCCTGAGAGCTTCACCCCATACTTCCCAGCCAAACGTTGTCCTCTGCCACCACGCCAGGCATGACACTTTACGGTGACTTCTTACGGACTGTGTGGGTGCACCTTGGTAGCCTCAAAGGAGGGATTTAGAGCAACATTTTCAAAAGCACTGAAGTTACTGCAGAGCCTAGGGACTGTGGTATTCCCACCACCCTAATTTTGGTACTTTCTCTAGCTGGCTAAATAGGGGTTGTCTCCATAAGCTTTCTTTACAGACTATTTTTCAGAGTAATAGCATAAGCAGGATGTTGCAAAGCCACCTGCAGTGGAGAGTCTGCTAAAGTGAGCCAGTAAGGGTATTGCCCTCTCTCCTCATACAACAAGCAAAACCAGATTATGTCCCATTTGGAGAGAGGCTTTTAAAATCTTATCTGGGATGATTTACTTCTAGAAGGAACAAAACCATTTTCTATTGCCTGCAGAATAACTCCTTTATCAACCAGGAACTGAAAGCTGAGGTTTGTCTCTCTGATGGCAGTGGGAGTCTGTCATTGTGAGGACATTTCTCACGTTGGTGGCACCAGTGGAAGCAGTTCCTGCTACCATCCCTGCCTTCAGCCTTGTCCAGTTGTGGCCCCAGCAGAGACCAGGGAAAAGTCCCATATTGCAGGGGGATAACTGATGGGGCAGGATAGAAGAAGTTAGATAAGCTGGAGAGGGACAACTTGGACTGACACAGTGTGAGAGAAGTCCTCAGGATGGCTCAGCAGCTTTATTCATCTCTTCAGCTCGAGGGCTACGGCAGATTCTTCTGTCATTTAGTGGATCTGTACAGAGTACATGCTCAGCAGAGGCCAGTGAAATCAGAAAGCAGCTTTCCTTGTGCCACTGAACACCTGCATGGCTCTCAGGATGTGATTTTTCCCAAAGACATCAATGTGTGCCTTCAATCATTCATAGCAGTTTTATACTATCTTTCAGTGGGAGGAAAAGTGAGACCCTACTGAGTGCTCTTCAAAAATCCTATCCAATCCTCAGTAGTGTAAATCACACAGAATAATTAATGGAATAAAATCCTGCTGCAAAACCTTACCCAAACACAGTGCAATAAAGGGCTACCATAGGCTCACCATCCTCAGTGTAGATGCCTGCCCTCGAGCAAGGGGCAGGGAGGAGGCAGCGCTGACAAAACAGGCATCACATTTATGCAAGGGGTCCCTGTGAGATTACAGCTCTCCAAATAATATCTCTCCTCGTGCACATGTCAGGGTCTGCCCCAGTTTCACATGCCGTGGGACTCCTACATGGTCAGGCTGTGTCATAGAGGATGGTCCTCTCCCTCTAAGCCACCTGAGATGGGGACTGGTACGGGCCTCCTCCAGCAGGTGTGCAATTAATTACACCAAAGATTTGTAGTGACCTGGTTACTTATGACCATTAAATACACAAATGAGATTGACGAAGGTAAGATTAAAGCATATTCCATTACTGAGCATCTGACAAAGAATGGCAACTCATCTTAGTAAAATATTAATCTTCCCCCCCCACACACACACAATGCAGAATATATTTTTACTAGAAATTTGAGCCATGAGTTATTCAGGTTTGCAACTCATTAGACGTCTCCCCCTCTTTACCTGTAACAGACTCTTATTTGTGCCTTGCAGAGAAACACAGTATCACAATAAATAAACAAATTAATAAAATCTGGTGGTGACTCATCGAAAAGATCTTATTAAGGGAAATAGAATATTTAGGAAAGGCTAACTTTTGTATTCACACAGATTAACCTCTTGACGTTGGCAGCCTGGATAACCTTCACAGTCTTACTGCTTTCCAATGTCAGGCTTTGAGCCAAGCAAAGCCCACTGGCTTTATCAGCGTAAAACCCTAACTTGAGTGTCTATCAGAAGGTGACATTTGCACCTCAGCTGCTTGGTAGCCATGGCAACAGTAAAAGATAAGGATGGAGCCGGGATAGAAGTGTTTAGAAGTCCCCCTCCCTTTTTTGGCATTTTTTCAAGGGCTGTGGCAAGGCAGTATTTAGTTTTAGTATTTGATTGCTTGGGTTGTCGCTGTCAGAAAGCAGGAGGGGTTTGCTATGCTCTTGTGCCATCCTTGCTCTTGGTGCTAGCAGTGGACACCGTGCTGCCTGCAGTTTGGGCAAGGACCCTGAGCAAGCAGAGGTGAGGGCACAGGGCAGAGAAAAATGTATGTTGGCTTTCTTGTATGTGTGTTCTCCTCATGGCCTGTCTATCTTATCTTCTGTCTTCTTGATTTTTAGATGAAAATCTTTGACAAAAACAAAGATGGACGGCTGGACCTGAATGACCTGGCAAGGTAAGCTTTAGTAATATCGATGGGGTTTTTCTGCTTGCAGTGGCAGATCCAGGCAAGATGATGATCTCCCTCTGGGGATGTGCATTTGAATCCTACCTCCTTTCAAATTAAATCAGGTACTCTGATGTAGGTATCCCAGGTCTCTAATGCATGATCCCCATCGCAATAGAATCGTAGAATTGTCTAGGTTGGAAGGGACCTTTGACATCATCGAGTCCAACCATCAACCTAACACTGCCAAAACCACCACTAAACCATATCCCTAAGCACCACGTCTACCCGTCTTTTAAATACCTCCAGGGATAGCAACGCCACCACTTCCCTGAACAGCCTGGTCCAATGTTTGATAACCCTTTTAATGGAGAAATTTTCTCAATATCCAATCTAAACCTCCCCTGCTGTAACTTGAGGCCATTTCCTCTTGTTCTAAAGTAGTCCGAGAACCTAGAGCCTCTGAGCAGTGCCAGGACCTGTTTGTGCATCACCAACATGCTCTGGCATGATCTGTGCTACCTCTGCGATGCTCCTCAGGAGGTGACAAAGCAGCCAGTGGCACCACTTCTCCAAAAGAAGGAGGGCAGTTCCCTTCAGCGGGTCACAGGTGTGCATTTACTTCACATCATCATGCTCAGCAGGGATTGCAAAGAATTTTTGCTGCTTGTTTGAGGAATAAAGGTGCCACCACCAAGGAGCTCACCAGTGGCAGTAAGAAAGGATTTGGAGAGACAAGGTGAAGACACTTGTAAATGAAGCTGGGGACTCGGTCACGGGTCTCTGTCTCTATGCTGTCCTTGATACCTCACAGGCTTTTATATGATTTTCACTGCATACAGATAGCGAGCGCGCCTATCTCTGTAAATGTATGTGCAATGACTGGCTGGGGCTTTAAACGTGCAGCAGGTACAGCCTTAAAACAGTGGTGTGGGGGATGAGAGGAGAGAGGTGATGGTTTGCCACTGTTACTTTGTGGTTGGGGTCACGACAAACGCTGGCACAACTAACTGCAGTGCACGTGGCAGTTTGCTTTGATCACTGAATGTATGAAGAGAATGGAGAATGTCTAAAGGGGGTTGCTGTCGCATTTTCCTCTTAAATATGGTTCCCTTACTGCCCCCTTGCCCCATGCCAGCTGAGGCTCCTCTCTGGTCTGAGCACGTTTCTCACACCCCAAACCCTTCAGCGTGCAGACACAGCTCAGCACAATCGGTGTCGCAGGCTCTAAAAACCACGGGGTTAGCAGAGCAGCTGGAGAGAGAAAAGCTTTTATCAGTGCTGTGAGGGGCTTTGGGAGAGAGGAGGGGAAAGGAGAGGAATTTGGGAAGTCTTGGTGCTCATGCCAGTATTACTTTGTCCTTTACTTTTACGACCGCCAATTCTCCCTCCAACAGAGAGCGACAAATTACTCTTTCCTTTAACACAGCACAGCAATCCATTTACGAGGAATGATTGTCTGGTAGCTCTCGCTTCAGAGGCTGACCACCTCCTTTGCTCTGGACCACCAGAAGTGCTCTGGGAGAAGCAATGGTGCTGAGAAACAGGTTTGCAGTGAGCCAAAGGGTGCCTGCCGTTCCCCGTCAGACAGGCAGTGAGGCATGCGTTCCTGGAATAGCCCTCCGTAAATAACCCCACAGGCGATTTTCTTTTTTTAAAGGCCTATAATCTAAAATCTCTTTACTTTACGAACCAGAAGAGTTCGGAATAGTTTGCATGCAGATGATGAAGCTGAAAGATTGTGATTTAAATCTCTCTATTCAGGATTCTGGCGCTCCAGGAAAATTTCCTTCTTCAATTTAAAATGGATGTAAGTAGTGCTATTTTTTGATGTCTCCTGTCTCTCTTGAGAGAGACAGGAGAGAATCCTGTCTCTCTCAGCTAAGATAACCTGGGCCCAAACTTGAATCTTTTCTGTTTTTCTTTTTCATTTTCTTGTCCTGTCTGCATGCAGGCTTGCAGCACGGAAGAAAGGAGGAGAGATTTTGAGAAGATCTTTGCACACTACGATGTTGTGAGTCCCCGAGGCCCTTCCTTTGCAGTCTTTAAATGACATGGATTTAGGATACGCTGCTCAGATGTCTTTCTCCCGCTGGGTGCTATGGGGGTCACTCAGAAGCTGCAGCTGTGCCCAAGCCCATGGGCCAGAGTGTCCCAGGCACCAGGGTGGGGGGGTAAGGTGGGGGATAGAGGCGAGTGATGCTCAGAGACTTCGTGGCCAAGGACCCATTTTTCCTTTCTCCATCGCACTGCTGCATTAGCTTGTATCTCCCTGCAGGCCGTAGAGGGGATGGTGGCTTTAAGTCTAACGGTCTCTGGCAGTTTGAGACCTACATCACCACCTTGAAACATAAAACCTCTTCCAGTACTGAAACAAGGGTTATTTAGGGAGTCTGGTCCAGGATGGACATGACCTCCTAACTGCTTGTTAGAAATCAGCAATTCAGTGGCACTTCTGACAGTCACACAATTCATTCAGGGTGGTGACCAGCAAGCCTCACAAAATGGTGGGAGAGGTTGCTACTGTTTGAGGTGAACCTGTTTGAGATTTGGGAAAAAGGAAGGCATCTTAAGCTCAGTGACTGGGTGGACCTACTGACCAGAAAACATTGTCATGTTTTTGACTTACGGGATGTTTCTTCCATCTTTCAGAGTAAAACAGGAGCACTTGAAGGCCCAGAAGTGGATGGGTTTGTCAAAGACATGATGGAACTGGTGAAGGTAGCTTCATGGCTCTTTTTATTTATTAGTATCCTATATTTCCAAGAGGAAGGTGCTTGATTTGGAAAAGTTATGTAGATAGAGAGGCTAGTAAGAAGATAGAATCAAATCTCACTTTGGCCAGCAGCAGAAATGAATGTCATGGTCTCAGCATTTCACTGTAGAGCATTTCACCATATCACAGAAATTCTGCCTGACAAATTAATACAGCTTCACTCAGCAACTGTATTTAAGAAAGGTCCATTCTAGCTCGTACTCTGAATTAGGTAGAAGTTACAGCACCACAAACTGTGTTGACGTGGATCAGTCACCAGAAGTTCTTTCTTCTGTTTTCACTGTGGATATGATCCTCACTGGTGTGACCTCGTGGTTCATTAGCTCATCACAAGGCTACACTTGAAAATGACTTGAGCTCTACCTCTAATCAAGAATACCATGCCCAGCGTGTCACCAGTTTCTTACAGGCAGCAGAGTCCATCTGCATTGGATTACCTTGAGTTTCTAGATGCAGTCCAAGATATAGTTTTTGATCCAAATATAGTCTGGTCTTTGGTTCCTTCTGAGCCTGCGCTGCTGCATTTCCACACGATGCGTCCTGATACAGGGATGCCTGCGCTCCCATGTCCGCTTAGCAGAGAGCCAAGACTGCAGCTGCGTGCTGATGGCTGCGTGTGTATTTATGTTACAGCCGTGTGGCATGTAGGGAAGGGTGCGATGACAGCAGGAGATTGGATTTGTGCATGTGTGTCCAAAGGAGGGAACGCTGTGCTTTCCCTAAGGGCCTTCATCAGCATTGTCCCTGGGCACCATAAGCTGTGCATGTGAATTGGATGTCCTGAGGAAGTGGGAAGCAGCAGTGGTCCAGCATTAGGAGCACACAGAAAGAGTGTTGCCTGTGAAGTATGCCTTTAGCATTCATTCAATACACTAAGGGTATTTTTAAATTGCTGGCTAGCCTGTAAAATAGTAGCCTGCTGACAGAAATGCCACATTGCTCTTCATGTAGCAGGTTTGAGAGAGGAAACCAGATGACAGCACAGGTCCGGTAAGCAATGATCTGTATTGCACATCTTTCTGCAGACTTTTGTTTGGTATGGGTCAGATATTGATGGCCTTGACTAAGCACAAAAATCATGTTGCAATTCCACACAGTTACTCACAGTCCCACACCCCTTCTGCTTTTGCAAGGCGCCTCTTCCCCATTACTCTGTTCATTTCCCCACCTCGTAGGAATTGATGTGGAGTCAGGCTGTTTGGTCACTCCTCCTTGGGTGGATTTCCCAGCCATTGCATGGCCTGCTGCTTTACAGGGCTGGGGAAATCCAGAGCTGTTTTCTCTCTCAGCAGTGTTTTTCTATTTTGCCTGCAGCCCAGCATTAGCGGGGTGGACCTGGACAAGTTCCGCCAGATCCTGCTCAACCACTGCGACGTGAACAAGGATGGGAAAATTCAGAAATCTGAACTGGCTTTGTGTCTTGGGCTTAAAATGAACCCGTAACCAGGAGAGTGCTTGTGGTTGTGTTCCATTTGTGAGATTTGCCTGCTGCTCCTCGTAGAAGTGTGTCCGTGCTGCTGGGCGAGCGGTGGGGAGCAGGGGCACCAGGTGAAGATGTGGTAGTGGGACCTGCATGGAGGGCCTCCCCGCTCCGCCATTCCCTTTGTGGTCTTCACTCACTGCCGCCGCTTGTGGGTCCCCTTAGCAATGTCTCTGCCCACGAGCACAGCAGCTGCTCAGAAAAAGGGTTGCTGTTCTCCTCCTGCCCCCACGAAATGCTGCCCTGCCTGTCCCCTAGGATAGAAAATCTCCTTAAAAATGTCCCGTCAGTGCTCTCAGAGTGCAGCTACTAGGTGCTTCTGGTGGTCGCCTTATGTGTGAAGTCGTTATGCTGGTGAGCGTGGCGCTTCGTCTGTGCATGTAAAGTATTGGATGGATGACAGTGTATTTGTGCAGAAATAAAAAATGGCAGTTACAGAAATTCAGTAAGATTGGAGTTTATGTCTTATGTGTGGAAAGCCATCTGCTGCAGGCTGGCAGACCATACGTAGTAGCCATTTTATGTAAAACGCATCAAATGGCAAGAGGTTTTGTGATGCCTATCAGCTGTGGAGTTTAAATCTGCCAGGAAATGAAACATGGTAGATCCTTCCCACAGGGAAACCACAGACACCAGGAAATAATATTACCTCTGGGATGCAGCTGCGGAGTAACATCACTTCTGCAGGAGGCCTTTCTTCCAACCCAAACTGAAATAATATACAAGGTTTCTATAAACTGAAAAACTGGAAGCACAGAAGCTTAATGAGAGCAAAGCTCTTAAGCGCATTCTTATTTTTTTAAATCTGTAGGAGTTAGTAAATATTTGTAACCTTTATTGAAATTGCTCCTCTACTCCACTCTTGTGAGACCCCACCTGGAGTACTGTATCCAGCTCTGGAGCCCCCAACATAAGAAGGACATGGACCTGCTGGAAAGTGTCCAGAGGAGAGCCACGAGGATGATCTGAGGGCTGGAGCACCTCTTCTATGAGGAGAGGCTGAGAGAGTTGGGGCTGTTCAGCCTGGAGAAGAGAAGGCTCCAGGGAGATCTTATTGTGGCCTTCCAGTACCAAAAGGGGGCCTACAGGAGAGGTGGGGAAGGACTTTTTACTAGGGCATGTAGTGATAGGATGAGGGGGAATGGCTTTAAACTGGAAGAGGGCAGGTTTAGGTTAAACATGAGGAAGAAGTTTTTCACTTTGAGGGTTGTAGGGCACTGGAACGGGTTGCCCCAAGAGGTTGTTGAGGCCCCATCCCTGGAGGTGCTCAAGGCCAGGCTGGATGTAATTAAAGCTCCCTATCACTCCCTGGCCGTAATTGTAATCCTGGAGCCTAATGGCAGCAGCATCATTTGTGCCACATATTTCCCTATTCCAAAGGTTTTGACTGCATATTCAGAAAGTGCCACACCTATGCTATCATGCACACATAATTCTTAATTTCCAATGGGAAAACTGTGGAGGAAGGATCGTTGGCAAAACTCCCACACATTTCAGCATTTCTGTCTCCTACAGATGAGAGACCCAGATTTGACAGTAGAAATGTCTTTCTGGTTACATTCTTTGCGCAAGGCAGTACAATGAAACACTCCCTTTATACTCAATTTTATAAAAATTAATCAGAAATTACCTTCAGTCAACACAAATAGAGATGGAAATGCTGATTCAATAAAGCACTTAAGAACATACACAACTTTATGCTCATTTTCTGTTTTCACTGATGATGAGCTCACAGACCAAAGAAGTGCTACATGTGTGTTTCACCCCAGCATGAAACTATGACTTTAAACTCTGAAACTGCTTTTTAGCACCTTGGCAGCAACATAAATCACAACTGCAATGACAGAACATTGCAATGGTACAGAAAAATGATAAACAAGGAATCAGGCCTTCGCAGCAACTCCCCGGAGCCATCAGGGATGCCCTTTTACTCATGATGCTCGCTTCCATCTGAGGGAAGAGCTGTGGTCAGGAGTGCATGACAACAGATAGGAGGCAGCAGAGAAATCCCATGCACCGCTGTTTATCGGACATGCTTTATCGGCATCCTGAAGCATCTGCAACAAATATGGTGGGGCACACCACCATCCATCTTTTCATCATACCTCCAATAGCATGTGACTTACCAGCCTAAATAATTACACCTTCAGGTATATTCCTCTATTTTTCTTTCTTCTTTCAGCCTTTATATTGTTCTCATTGCTATTACTATTTTCTTAAACTACAGTTTCCATTACTTTGGACATGGGAGAAATTTCTATACCATCCTCTACAACATATTTCCACTTGTAGATATATGCTATTTGTATTTTTCGATAACAGGTCCATTCTGTTTCACCCCTATTTAAGCCTATTGATGTCAGTAGAACTTTTTCTCATTTATTAAAGTACAAATTCAAGAATATCCTGCCCTGCCTCACCAAAAATACAGCAACTTTTAACATAAAATAAAAATAATCTTTTAAAGACTATACAACGACAGCTCTTATTTCAAGAATTATACACTACTTCATCCATCTTTATTGAAACCTTATGCTTTTCACATCCTCTACAGCCAATAGGTTTTTTAAAACAGACAATAAGCAGTAATGAATTTGACATGTCAGTGACACAATGTGTTTTGCTTCTTTTGTACTAATTTGTGATTAGTTTTTAAATACTGAGTTTGCTGAAGCCATCCTCTCTGCAAGTTCGTGCAACTAGTTTTCTTAGCTTGAAGTAAGTGAGTGAATAGCCTTCAGTAAGTGAGTTTAAAAGAGCATTTTACAAAACATTAGCAAAAAGTAATTGGGGATGGTAGATGAAAAGTTTACAGATAGAACTCAGAAGAGGGGTATTTTTATGTTGAGGGTTTTTTTATCATTATTATTTAGTTCTGTATTCCCATGAGGATGTTTTTTTGTGTCCAGAGCAGTGACTGGAGAGGAGGAAAACAGGCATGCATGCTGTCTTGTTTGCAGGGACCATAGGGGAGAGCCATATCCCAGTGGGACTCCAACCCAAGTGAGCTCCAGGTCCCCTATAAGCAAAACAAAATGTCAGGAGATGCAGTGGGATTCAAGCCCACGTTACAAAGGTCAGCGAGGCAATTATTAACGAACCATGGTCTTACAACCCTCTAGCCTCTAAAAGTCAATGTTGATGCAGGAGGCAGGCATTTTGAGACTTCCCATGGAGAAGACATGTTCCTTGCTTGCAGAGATTTTATTTATTTTTTAATTATTATTTTCACTTCAATAAGGAATGATCTGGAAGGCCCTTTGGTCTCAGGCTCTGGTGATTTAATCCCTTTAAGCTGCTATAGATACATAGATAGACAACGCATTTTGATGAAGCATAGCTATTGGCCATTTTGCAAAATTGAAGCGTACTTTAATGTGCAGTGTGGAGTCTTATGTACCAAAACATGAGAAACTATTTCACATTTGAATGGTTACATGAAAATAGCTGGTTTGCGTTAATTATATGAAAACAACTTGCCTACAAAACCAAAATCATTTATACACCATGATGCCTTCTGGGCTGTAAATATATTGAAGATATGCGAGGAAAGTTTGGGGCTGTTCGATCAGTGCATCTTCTGCCAACAAAATTCTGTGGATATCACATTATTTAGGAGCCTGCATCTTGGTAGCTAGAATTTGAATGCAGAAAGTGAATCAAAATGTTTGCCAACATGTTTTCCCTTGGTATGTTCATGTTTTTCTCTAGAAAACTGGGATTAAGGGATTCACAGTTTTTTATTTATTCATAGTATGTAAATCTCAAATCAATTTTAGTGGACTTATATCATCATATTTAACAGGTATAATTCTAAAAGACATTTAGCTACCACAAGCGTAGCAGTCAATATGCACAGTGCTCCCAAATGTGTCATTTTAAGGTTGTTTTTTTGCCTTTGTTTGTTTAATTGACAAACTGCTGGATCTGGAAATCAACGTGTGAATTTCCTCAAAGCAAAGCTGTTCCTTTGCCTCCCTCTTCTCTGTGAGTTATCAGAAATCTTGCCCTGGACTCCTGTCATGCTCCTTGCTCGGCTCAGCCCCTCTCAGTTTTGTCACTTGACATAGTTTTTTCTGGATGACTTGTCATGACAACTTTGTTCAGGAGACACTGACAGCTTCAGTTGACTGTGTAGAACTGATACCCGTGAAAAATGAACATTTATGGGTCTTTTTAACTCAAATCCATCCCTCATTGAACTTCATTGGTTTCACTGGAAATGGTGTTACAGAGGCGCAGTCTTTCCTCCCATCATTTTGAACCTCAACAAGCTGCTTGCTTATCCCGAACCGTCACCATGGAAATCTACCACTGGAGACCCCCAATTTCCTGAGCCAGCCTCACAATCCCAAATTGCTCACATGCCAGCTTGTCCTTTGGTCTGTGCATATTTTTTCCCCAGAATAAGGAATGCAAATAACACACGCTGGCCTCATTGCCCAGTCTGAACACACTCTAGCAATCTCCCATCACTGACACCCAAACTGGAACCAGATGAGATGTTTACAAATCATAACATTTAAGTTTCACTGGTGCTTTATTTTCAGATTTTCAGTAAAATAATTCTCTCCCTTTGTTCTCACAATGTTGCTTTTAATAACATGGGTGAAGCTGCCCACACGTCTTGCAGAAACTGCTTTTTATTCCCACTGAAAGTTAAGAATTGAGCATCAGCCCAAAAGAAGGGCTCAGAGCATAGGAAACCAGCACAATATTTTGATTAATCTGATTTCCTGTTTGTGTGGCAAGAGAACAGTGCCAATATTAATGAAAACAATTGTGACTAATGCAGCCCATAAGACTATCAGAGAATCATCTGCCACCTTATAATAGGAACCCATCACGAGAAACACCTTAATTACAGCTATTATCTCTTAAAATGGCTGGGTAACTCTTACATTAATCTGATTTAAAACAGAAAGTTGCTGTTACGTAGTGAGATGTTAAATGGGGCTTTGCTGTGTAATTGCATGGGGTAAAGTAACTATGAAAGTAATTTTTGTATGAGGACCACACTGACGGCTAATGCAAAGCTCCCATTTTCTGGCTCGTC